GCTCTCTGTCTCTCATTCTCTCTCTCTCAAATAAATAAATAAAAATCTTTAAAAAAAAAAAAAAGAAAAATTAAAAAAAAAATGTTGCTTGACTTAAAGAAACTGATATGGGTTGTTCAGCAGATGGAAAAGGAGAGGTGATTACTTCAAAATGCTGGGTAGGTCAGCGGCCTGGCAGAGAGTTCTAGCTTCCCAATCAGATGTAAGATTTGCATTATCTTTCAGGGGAAATGACAGCCCAAAAAGGCTCGGTTGAGAAAGGGACAGTCGGGAAAGGGACAGTCGGGAAAGGTACCTCTTTCATCTGCACGCGGCCATCTCTAGAGACATCCTGGGGAGCCATAAATTGCTGTTTCATTCTCTGCACATTTTCTTCCATGCCTGCCTCCTACAATAGTCCAGACAGAACCACATTAAAGCCACCGGGATTCCAAAAATGTAGTCAGGATATCAAATATTCAGAGCATAGAGCCTAATCATTACATTAGTCTACCCGGAAAGCAGGTTACTTAGCCATTTAAAGCGAGCCTCCCATGTTGAACAAGGGAGAACAGTGGTGGAGATTTCTTGAGCAAAGCACCACTGATCAGAATCCTGAGCAGGTGAGACCTACTGGCTAGTGAACTCCTAAAACATGAATGAAGGAAGAGAAGCTGAGAGACTAGGTTTTAAGGGGCCTCGGACTGATGTAACCCGATCCCGTTAGCTTGTCTAAGGACAACACCTCCATTAAGCTCATTTGCAGGACTCCCAAGTTCTCTTCCCAAGAACTCAGATATTTTGTTCTAAGTGAAACGCCCAACTCTTTTAGACTGCCAGTTTGCCATCACTCATCCCTTAATCTTCTCCTAGGGTCCACTGAGGAAAAAATAATTAGAAGGGGAAAAAAGTAACAAAGTAGTTGTTGAATTACCAAAGATGCCGCATCTCGCTTCCACCTACCTTTTCTACATACTAACTTGTTCTTCGTCAGTGACTGCAGGGTTCGTACAAAGAAATATGACGTATATAATCAACAGTGGAGAAGGAATTCTAATGGAAGAGCTGAGAGGCAGAAACACTCCGCAGCAGTGCCAGATCCCAAGACTCCAGACCCCAGCAGCCATGCTAAATTCAGTCTCCCTAATACTTTCCCTAATCCGATCCTGCACTATCCCTGCCAACCAGGCTTCCTCCTGAGACGCCCCACTACACGGAGAGAGATCAGCATCTCTGGTCTTGGCACCTCGGATTGTGTGTGTTTGGGTTTGGGTTTATGGGTTGCCTACTTGCACCATATAGAAAAAAATGTGATGGAGATCACTCCACAAGGTGGGTCTTCACTTTGCATTTCAGGTTGGCTTTCTAGATTCGGAGATCTGCAGGACAGCCGTCATTCCTGTATCTCTGAAATAGAGTATCTGTGGAATGAATACATGGTTCTTTATGGTGGGCTGGGCCTTCCCAAAGGACATTAGTGGACATAGGCCACATGGGTGGAAAATTAAGTTTCAAGATAAATAAACATAAAGCCAAAGAAGCTGTGGCCAGAGTCTATGTGCTGCCTTTAGTTTGAAGCCACAGAACCTTGACTTTTGTCCTCTAACTCCAAAGCCCATGACTATCCCTTGGACTTAAAGCAACAGAGCCTAGGGGCTGCCTCTGTTGTATTTCCCAGCCGCACCCCCCTGCCCCCCTTCTGTGAGACTCTAGGCCCCATCGTCTCTGACGCATGGAAGGAGGCCCAGGATGCGCTAGAATTTGACAGGAAGGACATGGACACAGCCCCAGAAAGTGATGCTCTGCTCTGCACTCGCTCTCTCCAGCCCTAGTTCAGAGGCCAGTTCTGAGCATTTGAAAGGAAAGGGGGGAGGGTGCTGAGGGAAGGGGTGAGTAACAGGAACAGCAGCAAAAACAGCCGATGGTTCCATTAAGTCTGTCCCTGCAGAGGCCCTGAGAAGCAGGGGATCACACAGGTTCCTCTCCGAGCCTGAGCAGCAGGCCCCTCGCTGTTGGCAGCCCTAAAATTCCTTCCTCTGAGGCCTCTGTGACCTGCTAATCAGGGAGGAACGTAGAGCTATTCAGGCCTCTGAAGAACGGCTTGCCACTCCTGGAGGCCTCCCTGCGGCTGCTTCTCTACCTGCTGGGGCATCCCTGATTAGAGGCAGGGGTCACAAATGGGGATTGTCACTCAGCTTGATGCATGTCCACCTGGGAAGTCCCCCCCTCTGATTAAGGACATGCTTAGGGCCTACTCCTTTCTCGGTGGGGAAAAAACCCAGAATCAGGAATCAGGACTAGTTTCCTTAATCGTGGTTGTCCAGGGAGCATGGAGGGCCCAGCAAAAGCTCCCATAACCGCACCCCCCAGGGTAAGGTCTCAGCATTTTGAAACAGAATAATGGCAGACGATGACATTTTTGGACAATGGCTTATACAACTGATCTGGCTTCAAAAGTTCTCTCGCAGCCACGCGCTGAGAAGAGGAAGGTGGAGTTGCTGCCCGAGCCCCGCGAGACCGGCCTATTAGAACCCTGCCCTTCCCCCGCCCCCCCTGGGATGGGCAGTCACTCTTCCTGGAGGGACAGAGGGTGAGAGAGATACCCACTGACTTAGGGTGATTTAAAAATGCAAGATCTTAGGCAAACCCCAAATGTACTGAAATTCCTCAGGGACGGGACACACAGGGACACAAGATACTGGTGAGTCCCTTGTGTCTTCTCCTGCAAGGACCATGTCTGCCCCTGCGTGAGAGGGCAAGTCCCCAGACTGGCTCTGAGGGACGTAAGAGATGGAGTGCCCAGCAGGAAGAGAGGTACCCCTCTACTCCATCACCAATGGCAACAATGTCTCCAATGTTAGCCAAAGCCCCAGAGGAAGTTGGCTCCTGGTGTCCTTGGCTCAGAGCAGACTCTTGCATTTTAGCAGCCCCAACCCCACCTCATGACAGAGAATAAGACACTCCTTCAACATGGACAGCAACTTTTCTCCTTCTTTCCTATAAATCACGAAGGCAAGGAGCTTCTGGAAACGTGTGAAGTTCTAAGTCTCTGGGAGGTTAGGTTGGGTTCCTGGACCATCCAGTTTATTCCAAGACTTTGAGTGGTTCTGACTTCATCTATTTGTTTTCCTCAAATACTCCTGTCCTGCATGACAAAACGGCATCTGACTCATGGGTTCTGGAACGCCCTGAGCCCTAGTATTTATGGCAGTTAGTAGGAGCAAGGCAGAGACAGAGAGAGACTGGGAGACAAAGAGAGTGTTAAGGGAAAGAAGGAGAAGAAGAGAAACTGATAAAAGACAAGAAATGAGGGGCAAAAAAATAAGATGAGACAGGTAAGAAATAGAAAGGAAAAGAAAAGACAGGGAGAGGAGGGACAAGAGAGCTTTGAGAGATGGACTGCAGATAGAAAGAGAAACAAGGAAACAGGAGAGACAGTGAGACATGGGGAGACCTATAAGACAGAGAGATGAGAGGGCGCCTGGGTGGCTCAGTTGGTTAAGTGACTGCCTTCGGCTCAGGTCATGATCCTGGAGTCCCTGGATCGAGTCCCGCATCGGGCTCCCTGCTCGGCAGGGAGTCTGCTTCTTCCTCTGACCCTCCTCCCTCTCATGCTCTCTGTCTCTCATTCTCTCTCTCTCAAATAAATAAATAAAATCTTTTAATAAAAAAAAAGACAGAGAGATGAGAGACAGAGAGGTCAGAGACAAAGTCAAGAGATGATGGAAGATAGGGGCCAGGAATCAGAATGAGAAACAGAAATAGGCAGAAAAATGAGACAGACAGACATCAAAAGAATAGGAGAGGCGGAGAGAAAGAGATCCATATACATAGAGACAGAGACAGAGAGACGAGGTCTGCGTGGCTGTTGGAGGCAGAAGGCTCCTCTTCTGTTCTCAACTGGGGCCCGGCCCTCCCCCCCACCCCGCCTGGAAACACCCTCACTAAGCGCTCCTTGGTGGCACAGAGAGCCTCGTTTCCTTCATTGGGCTCCTACAGGAAAAGTGCAAGGCACTTTATTCTTCTGTGTAAACAGTTCTCTACCTGAGGATAAGTGATCTCCACAATTCACTGCAAATGCTACCGTCTCCAGAGCTACTCCTCTTACCATGCATCCCCTGATGGAGTCTTGACTAGGCTCTCCCATCCCTAGTCTGGGGTGTCTTTGTATGAGCTTTTCCTCTGCTTTGGTACAGGGATCTTCAAAAGTTAATCTCCATCTCTCAAGGCCAGATTTACCATCAGGGAGGGACACGGACATGATAGATGGGTTTACGTTTATTATACCTGGGCTCTGGGTGTATTGATTATTTTCTGGTTTGTCATTCCCTAAGAAATCTATAACCTCTTCTAATAAAATGAATAATGGAAAAATGATTTTAAAAGATCTATTTGCTTGTGGTCTGCTATCAGAGGAGTATCAAATGCACTAACCACTCAGAACCTCAGAGCTCTTAACATCTCTTCCACCTTTTTGAACAAAGTGAGCTGCCTTATCTCCATGTTTACATCCATTAGCAGAAACATAACTAAGGAGACGTGCAAAGAAGAGTTGTTTGGATCTATAGTTAGGGTCTCTCCAGGGGATGACAGATGTTACACTGAAAGTCAGTGGCCAGCACGTCTAATGCTACAGTTGTACCTTTTATAAAACCTGCTTCAATTCCTCCATGTTGCTAGGAGATGGAGAAAAATTACATGCAGGCAAGGAAGAAAAGAGGTCAGATGAGATTAATAGGTGCAAATCAACATGAGACTTGGATGCTGCTTGTATTTTGCTAAAGGCACATAAATTAATGCTTCATGCACAAGTACTTACCTCAGTACCCAGTGTCGTCAACACGTGATGAAAGAAAGCATCGAGCTCCTTCTCTTCTATGTAACCTTTTTCTAAATGCAACAAGAGATGCATAAGTGATAGTCACTTACATAGAATGACATGTAACATTTACTATTTATCTAAATTGTTTTGAATCTCACAGTCTGTATAATCCCCATGGATACTGTTCTCCGCTATTTCAGTAACTATGTGCCGGTGTCTAACCTCTCGGAGACATGGATTTGAATAGTAGACACACATTCAATAGTAAATGCTCTGTGCTGGGTTGATATGAATATTTGGAAAAGGAAAGCGATTAAATACATATATTTTAATCCACAGACAAACATGAATTTTAGAAGAAATCCAACCCAAGGGCTTGGAAGCTTGGGAAAATTTAACAGGTGTAATTCTTGAATCTTACTTTGCAGAGTCAAAGCACAGTTTAGCTATTTTCTTTATGGTTGCTGAAATATTACTAAAGATAAAGCACATGTTAAGTGGTTCCATTTTCTTTTCAAGTAGACTTTTTTTTGGAGGGGGAAGTAGCGTCTTTTTGAAAATTGGTAAAATTCGTCCTCCCTTTGAAGAGCACCTTTAGGGAGGGCTGACTTCAGACAGATGCCTGCCAGCCACAAGCCTAAATATATGATCTGTGTCATATACGGCATATCATCTTAGACAGACACATACACACACGCACGGATTGGGAGGGGGACCAAGTCCCTCCCCTGACCCTGAACTTACACAGACGTCTAGATGTATAGCTCCAGTGTACCTAACGTGTTTGGTTTGGTGTACCGCATTAACAACACTGGAAGACAACTTTCCCTGCGAGGAAAGACGAGGAAAGACGGAAAGGGGCTGGGCTGGAGCCACGTCTACACCTGAATGTGCCAGTGGCGTGTTCCACTTACCATCCGCGTCAAAGCGCTGCCAGACCTGCCAGAAGCCCGCGGCGTCCAAGCGGCCCTGAGTCACTTCGCGGGCGCTGTCCATGGTGCTGATCACGAAGCTTGGGCACCTGCCGGCAAGGAACACCTGGGAACTTTGACAGCGGCTCCTTCCTGGCTCCCTCGCCTGCTTCTTTGCTCTCTGGTTTGCTTTGAGCACCTGTCTGCGGGGGCGGGGGCGGGGGCGGGGGCGAGGGTGACTGGCGAGGCGGCGGGTGGCAGCGCCTTGGCGTCGCTACAATCCCTAAGCCCCGACCGCGGAGCCCGCCCCCCTGCAGGCGCGCGGGTCCCCGCCCCGCTCCGCCCCCGCGCACCCCACGGGGGGGCTGTCGTCTGCCTGGGCGCTGTGGGGGACTGGGGACAAAGGCGCTGTCCTGGGCCCTCCATGGCTAACTGCCTTTGCCCTTTAAATTGTTTGCCAAACTCAGAGAAAATATTCCCGCTTACCTTTGACTGAACACCCAAACCTGTGCCCCTCTAGAGAAAGCTCCTGCAATTAAGGTGTTGGACGAGGTGTCTGTGTTAAGGCCCTTTGGACCTGATGACTTAGAAATAGTGTGTGGGGAAGGTGGGGGTGAGGTGGAGAGGGGTAGTAGCGGTAGTGGTAGGAGATTACCAGTAAGCAAGGAGACCCTCAACAGCAATTATTGGCCCCTGAGTATTTAGAGCATGCTTATTGTTATGCTATAAAGCACCACAAGGACTTGCAACTAAATAGGGATTCTGCAAGGAACTATGGTTTAACGCAGGGTACCAGCATGTTGAGGGAAATCTAAACCATGCCATGTTCTACCAGGAGAAGAGAGTGGGCGGGGAAACATGGTGGCCAACTGCAGAGCTCTTAGGTAGAAGACGTAGATGATTGTGTTTGGCTCATAAAAGCCTCACCAAGATCAAAGGACAAAAATCATTCGGAGGAACAAAGAACTCTAATGATCAGAACTGTTCAAAACTTGACTGGTTACTTTGTGAAATAGGGAACTGATGAGTACTGATGGCTTCTGACCATGGGCTTCGAACTTTTGGTCGAGGAATCTATAGAAGGAGCTTGGGTATTAAGAGAGTTGGACAAGATATAGATTTTTCTTTATGACACTGACTCTCACATTAGCATTCAAATTTATTTTTTAAAAGCCCATATAGGGGCGCCTGGGTGGTTCAGTCGGTGAAGGGTCTGACTTCTGATTTTGGCTTAGGTCATGATCTCTGGGTCGTGAGATCGAGCCCCGTCTCTGGCACCATGCTGGGTGGAGCTTTCTTGGGATTCCCGCCACCTACCCCCCACATACACTCTCAATCTTAAAAAAAAAAAAAATGCTAAACTGCAGTAGTAAAAAGAACATGACACCCCTGGTCAGACAGTCCTAAGTTGGGTTTCCCAGCTCCATCACTTGCTAGCTTTGTGACCTGGGCCATTAGTTTTCATCTGTCTGAGACTCTGTTTTCTCATCTATAAAATGGGGATTATAATATCTGCTTTGGAGGGTGGCTGTGAGGATCAGAGTCCCTCATAGGAGTGCACAAAATATTATAACTGTTGTGGTCTTATAGAGGATAAGAGGGGACTGTATGGTTTTTTTTTAAATGATGTGGAGAAAAGAAAACTTAAAACAAAAATAAATAAATAAATAAATAAATAAGTGGAGAAAAAAGGAAAGTGAGAAACTGTCATAGCCAAGAGGAGTCTAAGAAGACATCATAATTAACTGCAATATTGTACCTTGGTTAGGATCCTGGAACAGAAAAAGGACATTAGGCAAAAAGTAAGAAAATTTGAACAAATACGGACTTTGGTTAATAATAATGAAAAAAATGGTTTAGAAGCAAATAGCTCTGTGTTTAGGGTCCAGCTTTGCCTCTTACTAGCTGTGATATTAGGCAAATTACTCAGAGGAAACCTCATTTTCTTCACCTGTAAAAATGGGGATAGTTGTAAGCATTCGCTCCTACATTGTTGTCATAAAGGTAAAATGAAAAAATACATAGAAACTTCTTAGCACAGTAAACACTCAATGTAGGTTAGCTACTGAAACGATAAATCTCCATATATAGACATTTAGACAATGGTGAAATAAGCCTCAGGATTTTTGAGTAATCCTCACTTCTGGGGAAGGTGTTAGGTACAAATATTGGAGAACATAGCAGGACGAGAGGGTGAGTGGCTCGGTGTCCATAGTTATGTGTGGCCCTGGATAATTATGGATACAGTGTCAAACATCAGTCAGGAAGAGTAATCTGCATGAACTCACCAAGGTAGTGACTGATCTTATTTTCTGATAAATAATGGACAAAGGAAAAATAAGGCAAATGTCAGAAGTAATAATCAAGGTCTAATGTGCTTAAATAATTGATGGCTATGATGGGCTTTGCTGCATACACAGAAATCTTGATTTTGAAGCCTAATCTCACATGAATGTGCACACACACGCACACACACGCACACACTGCTTAGAATATAAGAGCAAGCTATAAAAAAAGCACGTTACAAAAGTGTGCATATAGTATGACCCAATTCTGTAAAATAAAACACGTTTCTATATGTAGAAAAAAATGGAAGGATATACAATAATGATATAAATGATGTTTATCTCTGGAATGGGGAAGAGGGAGACTCATGGGTGGTTTTAATTCTGCTGTTTGTAGTTTTGCTTTAGAACTTTCTACAGTAAGCATATAATGCAAACGATTATAACTTTTAAAAAATTGTTTTAAATCTTTAAAGACTTTTTTATAAATCTAAGGGAAGGAGGAAAGAAGCACAGCTACAAAGACTGCTGTTCTTCTTGGAGCTGGGGAACACATGGAATTCACTGGAAACACTTTCCAGGAGCCTGGCACGTGGAGCTCAGTGGGGAATTGTAATTTTCAGGTGATAATTTTTCATTTTCTTCTATCGTGACACGAGGTAGATAATGTTCAGGTACCTTGCATTCTCTCAAGTAGAGATTTCCTTGGGGGAAAACCGCCCCAACTCTTGACAAAGAAGAGAGCCATTGAGAAAGTATTTTAAAATACTGAATCGGGGTGCCTGGGTGGCTCAGTTGTTAAGCATCTGCCTTCGGCTCAGGTCATGAGCCCAGGATCCTGGGATCGAGCCCCGCATCAGGGTTCCTGCTCAGCCAGGAGCCTGCTTCTCCCTCTCCCGCTGCTTGTGCTCCCTCTCTAGCTGTCTCTCTCTTGGTGTCAAATAAATAACTAAAATCTTAAAAAAAAAGAAAAACCCTTAAAAAATAAAATAAAATAAAATACTGAATTAGCAGGAATCACCTAGAAGACTGTCTCACCGCCGAGGTTCTCCTACCTGGAAGTGGAGTGAGGGGAGTGGGAGTAGAAGAACCAGAGGTGATTACCTGAGACCCTCACTGTCCAACCAGAAAACTCAGAGGAAAGCAAATACAAAGTAGATAGAATCAACCTGAAACAAATTATGCAATTAATGGATTAATGTAGCCCCTTCCACAGAGATTTTAATTTAAATTGTCTGGAATGAGGACTCTGCACTGATATTTTTTTTTAAATATTTTATTTATTTATTTGTCAGAGAGAGAGAGCACACAAGCAAGGGGAGGGGCAGGGGCAGAGGGAGAAGTAGGCTCCCTGATGCGGGGCTCGATCCCAGGACCCTGAGATCATGACCTGAGCCAAAGGCAGACGCTCAACCTACTGAGCCTCCTAGGCACCCCGCACTGATTTTTTTTTAAAGCTCCCCTAGGAATTATATTCGAACCACTGACTAGCCCTTTGGCTATTGTATATTTTGGTCATTTTGTTATTTGGACATAGCTTCTCTAAAGGACAATATAGAAAAGGAAAAAACTTCTTAGAATTTGTACTTCTAAGTCTCTCTGGTAAGTTTTGACTGGTGGCTGAGACTGGGTCTGCAATGCGTTGTTTTTCTTTTTCATCCGTGCTGATTTCATTTTTTCCTGCAGTCATTTCCTGCTTTTCTCATTAGCATAGTTAATTGATGGTTGGTTGTACAAGAAACATCAGTGGTCTATAATTTGAAGCATTGCTAATTAACCCTGATGCACACATTCAACTCTTGAGTTAGAATATCTGTATCTTTTTACAAACTCAGAATGAAATTTCTAGCTAGAAATATAAACAATGCTGTCTTTGGCATTATCTTCCCATATTTATTGAACATTTGAACATGGTGGATACCTCATAGACTCTATAGTAAACCTGAGAATTTAAAGAGATTGTTTTGGTTTAATGGGGCACCAGGTCCAAAGGGCAAAGAAAATAAAGTCATGAGGACCATTTTGTAGGATACAAGTGTTAAAAAACTGGCATTGCTTTACATCTACAGAAGTTTAATAAATGTCATCAAACTATACACTCGAGGAAGGCGATTATTATGTTATATGGATGATATGTCAGTACAGATGTTTAAAAATTGACAATGTTAATTCTATACCTCATCGTTAGTCCTGACTGTTTCTATATTCCCCGAGGACACAAATTGGCACATCAGGGTGTGGTGTTAATCTTTTCTTACAAGTGGTCTAGGTTTATAGAGCTCTCAAACATGACTGAGTGACTCCTAGCTTGTCCACAAGGAAAATACTGTCTGTTGAAAACCTGTAGAACTGACTTGCATTCAGGAAGTCAATTTGGCTCAATTCTCTAAATATTTGTTGAGTGCCCACTAAATGCCAGGCACCGGGCAGGACTTGGAAGGGCAGGGTGGGATTGTGGTTGACAGCGGAACCGGAACAGATGAAGTTTGGGGCCCAGGAACTAGGGTCTCAAGGAGGAGTACTCCAGAAAAGTACCATGGAGTACGTGCATTACTCATTGATGAATTTTCTGCCAAAACATGAATTCATTTCATTTAATAGCATATAGTCAATGACTTTTTTTTTTTTTGCCTATACACGGCATTAATACAAGTGGACTTTCAAATGATAAAGCCTAAGATCCAAGTGAATTATTTAAAATGATGCACCTTTCTGCTATGAAATAGAGATTATTGAAACTTTCTTTGTCCTCCCGGGATCACTTCGAACTCATTTTTAGCCTCTGGCTGCTCGTTCACAGCTATTTCTGTTCTCAGCATTGCATACATCATGCTCGC